AGTGTGGTGTCCTGAAAACCTAGAGAGAAGGAATGAATGCCCAAGATGCTATGGAGGCTGATCAACATGAATGTGGTGATAGATTGGATATGAGAAGTGAGGGAGAAAAGTGAGAGGCATAGGGAAAAAAAATTATTGATTTGCCTTGGGAAAGGGTAAAGAAATACTTGAGGCCCTCCTTGGGTCTGCAGATGCCAGAGGGGTGGCAATCAGGGTGCTGTCCAACTTTGGCTCAGAAGAGTCAAGAGGAGGCAGGGCTCTATGGTGAAAAGAGTGGCCTCAGGACCTGGGTTCCAATCCTTGGCTCTGCTACCCACTAGTTGTGTGTTGTGAAATATGTCTAAATCTTTCTGGGCATCAGTTTTCTCATCTGTAAAATGATGGACTAAAGCATCTCTAAGGTCCTACAATCCTGTGACTGGGAAGTCACTGTCCAGGGTCTGAAAGCTCAGGCTGGTCAGGCAGGTACACAGACAATTATCCTTGTGCAGCAGTTGTGGCCAGATGCAGTGGAATCTTTACTCTTATGTCAACAATCCACAGAGCCACTGATTTAAACACTCAGCAAGGAGCTAAGCTTCTCTGGCTACCTTGATACTGATCCCCTTCAAGGAGAATTCATAGACTTCTCAGGGAGTGATTCTGGACAGCCTGGTGCTGGAAACACACAACACACCCCGGGAGAATGGATTTCTCCTCATGGGGGTCCACTGGTTTTTGTGTTCCTAGAAGCCCCTGATTCCTTTTCCAGGGAGTCTACATCTTAGATTGCCTGAAAAAAAAACTGAGGGTGTGGTAATATGGACAAGAGAAGACCTAACAGGGCACGTGAGAGCTGTCTTCAAATATTTGAAGGGCTGTCATGTGGAAGATGGATTGCACTTATTCAATGTGGCCCCAGGGGACAATCTAAGAGCCATGGGAGGAAGATGCAAGCAAACTTTCAGCTTAATATAAGAAAGAGTTTGTAAATAATCAGTTATTTCATAATGTTTGGAATGGTAGTGAGTTCCCTGTCCCTGGGGAATATGGGTAGATGTCCTGTAAGAGTCTGGATGGCCACTTGGGAGGAAAGTCCTATAGGAAATCCATTCTCTATATACAGGTCAGACTTGACCTCGAGCCTGCCTTTGGTTTGGGATTCTAAGATTCTCTGACTGCAATTGACCCAGGTTTTAAAAGGATGAAACATATGCACATAGGCTGCTAAGGAGACCAGAGATTCTGGCCAGAGTCCAGGACAGGACAGCTCCGAGGTCAGCCTTGGCTTCCCATGGGCAACTGCTCGCTACCTCCCTGGGCATGGGGCAGGGCACCAGGACCAGTCTGCTGATGCTAAGGGACGCTGGTCTGCTACTGCGGCAATGCCCAACCCACGTTGGCTGGAAGCCTGTTCCTAGCAGGGGAATATGCTGTGGGCACACTGCCACCTGCGGGCTGTTTCTGGAATAACACCAGGTGAGGCTGCTGAGAAATCAACACCCATAAGCCAGGTCATACGAGAAAGAAGGGGCCTCAGGGAACATCTAGTCCAACCCCTCCTCATTTTACAGATAAGAAAACTGAGGCACACTATTAAAAATGTGAGCTAGGCCTATACGAACTGATGCAAAGCAAAGTCAGAACCGGGAGATCATTGCGCACAGTAACAGCAATGTTGTCATGATGATCAACTTGGCTACTCTGATCAGTACAATGATCCAAGACAATTCGGAAGGACTCAAGATGAAAAAATGCCATCCACCTCAGAGAGAGAAATGATGAACTCCGAGTGCAGACTGAAGTATGATTCCCTCCCTCCCCCCTTTTTTGTTTTTTTGCAGTTTTGCATGAATTCGCATGTATAATTGACGTCATATCGTTTGCCTTCTTAGTGGGTGGGAAGAGAGAATCTTTTGATTTTAAATCAAAATTTAAAAAGATTGTTACAAGGTATTTTTTTTAAAAAGGAAAAAATATGAGTTATTATTATTATGTCTGGGAAGAACTCTAGAGGGCATAAAACATATAGTTTTTGGGAGGAAACAGATATAATGTAGCCCAGGGGTTCTTAAACTAAGGAACATGGATCCCCATGGGATCTGTGCACAGGTGTCCTCTTAACATGGAGTTTTCGATGTTTTCATAACCATATTTCAACATAACTTGTTTCTTTTGCAAACCTGATTTTGTGCATTTTAAAATCTTGTTGTGAGAAGGGGGTCATAGGCTTTACAAGACTACCACAAGTGTCCAAGACTCACTAAAGTTTAAAAATTCCTGATCTTCCAACTGGGATCGAGAGAACAGAATTGACTTGTGCAATAAGCTAGTGATATCACTAAAACTGGACCCTAGTTTCCTCTCCCCTGAACTCCCACAGCCCTTCACAGCCTGATTGGTGCTGATGTGCCAGGGCAACCCATTTCTGAATCAGTTGTGCCATGGAAGTTGTGGGCTTAAACATCAAGGGAAGGTCTGAGTTCTTTCTTGGGAAGGCAGGCCCAAAGTAAGGATCCTCTCACAAATAAACTCAGGACACAACAGAGCAATATAATAGCTGTTTTTATTAGTGGAATTCTGGAGCCTCTAAGCTCCTGTCTACACAGGACAGAACATTAGAGTCTATACAGTTGCTGCCACCGCTTAGTGCAAACCTAAGGTGTTCCAGAATGGCTCCCAGGTAGGGGGAGGGGAGAATGATCAGAACTGGGGGAAAGACATGGCAAGGCCTCATAGAACTCTGAAGCCCCTAAAGACATTCCAGCTCAACCTAGTTTTACAGATGGGAAAACTAAGGCCAAGAGAGGAAGTGTAACTTGCTGATGGTCAAAAAGGAAGTCAAGGACAAATCTGGGACTAGAGCTGACGGCCTCCCATCTCCCAAGCCAGGGCTTTCAGCATGACCGTCTTCCATTGCTCAAACTGTGAAGTCAGTGAGATTTGTATCCAATGCCCCCTGCTTCCTCTTTCTCTGCTTTTCCTCCCCCTGAAGTCCAAGGACCACAGGCATCCTCTTACTCTCTAAACCTGATTTCTCCCACTGAGAGCTTAGAGCATGAAAGAGATTCATCTTGGGAGCCGTTTGTATTTAAAGAGGAGTCTAGTGAGGACAGTGATTAATTCAAAGGAAAACAACTCTACTGGTGGGATTGTAGGTACAAAGGACAGGCAGACAGGAGGAAGGAAGGGATCAGATTTGGGGGGAGGGGTGGGACAGAGGCCTTCTTGCATTCAGTCCTCTCCGTTTCTTTTAAAGCCTGGCTGGGTTTTCTCTCCATCACAGTTTTTGTGCTGGGTCTATGTGGCCACAGTGGGATGAAGGACAGCAAATAATCTGGGGTGGTGGTGGTGACACCAATGGGAGTGGCTTAGGCTGGTGCTGTGGCCTGGCCTTGGAGACCCCTGCTCACACGTAGTACTCCCAGCCTCAGACCAATTTGTGTGTACTGGGGGAAAAACAAGAGAGTGAAATGCCTAGTGTCACCGTTTCAAGCTTTCTCCCTTGGTTCTGTTTTTGAAGTGGGATGAGGGCAATAACCATAGGTCTATGGTCCTCCCAAAGACAGAGAAGACCTTTTGTAGGCTCCTGAAAGGCTGGCCCTCCTAAGCTTACATTCTTCCCAACTCAACACAGGTAAGGCATATTCATAGAACCATTTTCATCTACAGCTCTTGCTAAGACAGAAAGGCCTTCAGAGAATGTGTCTACTCCATAGGGCAAGAATCTCTTTCATAGTCTCCCAGTTCAGGGGTCATCCAGCTGGAACACCTCCATGGACAGAGAGCTCACTCCCTCTCAAATAGACCTTTCTACTGTGGGATAGACCTGCTAGCAATTTCTTCCTTATCTTGATGTGGCTGTATGACTTGCGCCCATTGGTCCTGCCAACACATCTAACCCAAGCACTTAGCACAGCGCCTGGTACATAGTAGGTGCTTAATATATACTTGCTGACTCATCCCTCCTCCATAGGATAGCTCTCAAAGTATGTGCTGGCAGGACTCTGTCCTCTCTTTAGAATAAGCACCCCAAATTCCTTTAGCTTATCTATGAATAAACATTTCTAGAGACTGTGGCAGGATGAGAAGATGCAGGCAGATCTTTCCTGGCCCCTGGACACCCAGGGCTACACAGAGTCATTCTGGTTACTAGAGCCCTGATGGCTAAGAGGTAAGTACCTCAAGGTTCCAAAGGAGCCCAAGGCACATTTCACCTCCTCACATCCTGGGGAAGAGGGGAGAGCTCCCAAATGCAGCCTGGCTCCCTGTATTTAAGCTCCCATGTGACATGCTAGCAATTCTTGTTACTTTCCAGCTTCCTTGCCTGGGCAAATAAAACCCAGCCTCCCACGCCTGACTATTCAAACATCTGGAACTAGTCCCAATCCACCAGGGCCACCCCTTAAGGAGGAATGCCCCCAGGAAGAGAGCTCCTCTCTCCTCTGCCCACCATGTGGGCTGTCAGAACCAGACTGTGGCCTGGCTGGCAGGGGTGGGGGAGTGAGTATAACTATGAGGAGGCTAGAAAAGTGTGTTGGGATGAGGATGTATCTATGGCCCTCTCTCTCTCCCTCTCTCTCTCTCCCTCCCTCTCTCTCTCTCCCTCCCTCTTCTCTCTCCCTTCCTCCCTCCCTCCCTCCCTCTCTCTCTCTCTCTCCCTTCTCTCTCCCTCCCTCTCTCTCTCCCTTCCTCCCTCCCTCCCTCCCTCTCTCTCTCTCCCTCCCTCTCTCCCTCTCTCTCTCTCCCTTCCTCCCTCTCTCCCTCTCTCTCTCTCTCCCTCTCTCTCTCTCTCCTTCCTCCCTCTCTCTCCCTTCCTCCCTCTCTCTCTCTCTCTCTCTCTCCCTCCCTCTCTCTCTCTCCCTCTCTCTCTCCCTCCCTCTCTCTCTCTCCTTCCTCCCTCCCTCCCTCCCTCTCTCTCTCTCCCTCTCTCTCTCCCTCTCCCTTCTCCCTCCCTCCCTCTCTCTCTCTCCCTCTCTCTCCCTTCCTCTCCTCCCTCTCTCTCTCTCCTCTCTCCTCCTCCTCCCTCTCTCTCTCTCTCTCTCTCTCTCTCTCTCTCTCTCTCTCTCTCTCTCTCTCTCTCTTTACTGAACTGTGTGTACCAGTGTGTTTTTAGGGGAAGGGAGAGGAGGACTTATGTGTTTCTGTGTGTGGTAGGTATGTGTGCTAGGAGTATCTGTAAGAATGCAGTTGTGCTTGATATGCAGGAGAGAACGAAGTTTCTGGTTCAATTCCCTGGGTAGGAAGGGTATGTATGTGTGTATGTCTGTGTGTGGGGGAATAGGGGAGCTGTGCATGTATGTCTAAAGAAGGGAATTGGGAGGGGTGCCTGCAAGTATATGTTTGTGAGTATCTAGATATCTCTGCACTCCTGAGGGTGATGGGGTATGGCTATTGATGGCTGGGTTTGTGAATCTATCTGGGTTTGGAAGGATGTGTTTGGAAGAATGAGGCATAAGTGTGTCTGTGTCTGTGGGCCCTTCTCTGGGTGCGTGCGTGAATGTGCGTGTGTGTGTGTGTGTGTGTGTGTATGTGTAATGGGGATGGGTGAAGGAACCACTCAGACCACAGCTGGGGTGGGGGTGTCACTGTGGGATATGGTGAGAGTCAAGACATCCTATATCTATTTTGTAGTTGGGGCACAGAAGGGCATGGGTGTTAGAGAGACTGTAAATAGCCAGAGCTTGACCGGAGCAAAGGCTGAGGGAGCAAAACCCAGTCCTTGGGATTCTGGGGAGGTCAGGGCAGGACCACCAAGGAGAAGTTTATGCCACAGACAGACAGGCATCTACTGAGGGCCAGGGCAGGGTCAGGGTCTCTGTCCCAATGGTGGGGAGAATCTTCAGGTGCTCCTGGGTGTGAGGCCTCAGAACCAGCAGGGCATCCACATGAGGGAGCCCAGAGCTGCCCCTGTGGCAGCTCCAGCCAACATGCCCATAGCGAGCTCACCCCCAGTATCTCTGCCATAGTATGGTGAGTCACGCAGGATGACGTGGGTCACTCCTGGAGCTATGGGGAAGAAAGTAAAGGGGAAAGAAAGGAAACTGTAAGTTTAGGAAGGAGCTGAGGAAAGCGGATGGCCCACCTGGTCTTCAAAACCCATTCTAAATCTGATCCCTCTGGGAAGCTCTCCCTGGTCACACATGCCTAGCTCCTTTGAACTCTCTGCCTATACCTTTCAAAGAGTATAAAAATGGGGCCTCATTCTCTGTCTCTCCCTTAAACTGGGAGAAGATACCTGAGAGCTGAGCTATCTCCTGGAGCACAGAAGGAAAGATTAGCTGGGTCTATTCCCTGAGGGAATATTATGGCATAAGGGGAAATAAGGAGGGTTGGAGGCCTCAGAGGGAAGAAGGCCTGCTTGGAGTCAACACCCTGGGGAACAGTAACAGAGATTGGGAAGGAGGAAGGGAGGGCTAAGGATGGAGTTGGGACCAGGTCTTGAGGTAGGGATTGGGGCTCATAAAATCCCAGAATCTCAGAGCTGGAAGGAAAGTTAGCTCAACCCAAAATCTCTGGAGGGTTGCATATATCAACTAATAATGATCTTACTACCTCTGAAGGTAGTTAATTCAACTTTGGACTTTTGCACAGACTTTCCCCTTTCCAACCTACCCTCTACCCCGGCAACCAACTAGTTGGGCCCATTCCTCATTAAGCCTCCACATCCCAAGCCCTCAGAAAACTCCCTTGTCTCCTGGGGCTCAGGGTCCAGGGAAGGGTCCGTACCTCCATACTGGGGCCCATAGTAGCCAGTGCGGATGTAGGTGGCATCGTGGGCATTGGGTGGCACCATTTGGTAATAGTCATCGTAGGGGTCATAGATGCGTACCTGGGGACAGAGTCAAAGTTTGAAAGTGGGGAGGGAGAGGTTTCTGCCCCAGTCCTCAGAGTCTTCTCCCTTCTCCCCCCAATTTCCTCTCCATAAGCTTCCAACATCAGACCTGAGTGTAGCCTCTGACATATCTCATCCTCCTACCCTTGCCCTGAACCCAGCCTTGGGCCCTGATCCTCTTCTCCCTGGTCCAAAGTCTTCATGCTGCCTTGTATGGCACTTATCCCAAACCATCCCCAAACCACTATATGTCTTGCTTCTCAGCTCCTCCTGCTAAATGCCTGCACCTTACAGGGTGACAACTCTCTAAGAGACTCAAGGATGAGGGGACTTAACAGTTAATTTGTCTGTTTTACAGTGGAGGAAACTAAGGTCTGGGAAAGAGAAAAGACTTGCTTGAGGTCACACAGTGAGCCAGGGGCAGAGCCACAAGTGGAGTCCAAGCATTGCGCCTTTGAGCCCTTAGGGAGCTATCCATTTCCCTAAGGTGCACTGCCTCCCTAAGAAATAGCTCTGATAAGAGGGATAGAGGAGAAACTCTTGGTCTTGTAACAAGTCTTCCAGAAAACATGACCCTTTCTGTTGTCGAATTTGAGCCCCACAAAGAGACTAGGAACTTCCTGGGGCAAGTCTCTTCCTCCTATATCTCTCATAGCAGCTATACAAGAACATTATTAGGGAAATGCTGGTGACAAAACAGAATAAGCCATTTCTATTTTCTATATGCCCCCCCAAGAGGAAGCCACTGGGCTTTTCCCTCTCTCCATGGTCCTGAAATTCACCTTTCTCACTCTGCCTTTATGGGTAGCTCCTAGGCTCCTCCTATCCAGAGTTCTAATGTTATCTTCCTAACCCCCACCCCCAAACACTTCTGGCTCACCCAAGGAAGTCAACTGTGCCACCAAGGGCAGGCACTATCTACCCCACTGCAGAACTGAGCAAGGGCCTACCATACCACAGCTCTGTGAGGGAGGCAGCGCAAAGGTGATTGTTACCAACTTAAAGAGGAAGAAACAAGATCAGAGAAGTGACTCGTCTGAAAGTCATGTAGCCATTAAGGGAGAGTCAACTCAATTGTCCTGGGGGATTGAAAGAAGACTGAGATAGGGCTCATCCCTTTAATCCAGGCTCCCCAAAAGGTGGGGGAACAGGGCTGAGAGGTTAAAAAGAGGGACATGGGAATGGTGAGACTTTCCCTTAACCCCCAGACACACACACACACAAGTGAACAAAATACTGGTGTGCAAGCATAGCAGACAGGGTGCTAGAGAGAAACAAAGATGAACAAAGAATCAGAAATACAGATACCCAGAAAAACACAGAAGTCTATTTAACTCAACAAACCCTTACCTGTTGTCTACTGTATGTAAACCCCTGCCCTTGATGCTGGAGAAGGTATGTAGTTAAAACCCAATTCAATTAAACGAGCATTTATTAAGTACCTATCATATGTAAGGCACTGTGCTTGTTGCTGGGGATAGAAAGCACAAATGGAATAGTTCCCTCCAAGAGCTGACATTGTACTGAGGGATACACCACATAAACAGTTACATCAATACACAGTGATTTAAGGAGGGACAGAACACTAGCTTCTGAAGGGATCAGGAAAGGCATCGTTTAGGAAATGACACCTAAGCCACACCCTGAATAAATGAAGGATTCAAAAAGATGGACCTAACAAGGGAGTGCATTCCAAGAATGGGAGATAGCTTCTGTAAAGGAACAGCAAGAGAACACAGAGAGAGGCCAATGGATGCAAAAACTGATGCACATAGTCACGCAGAGTCGGAGCTAGAGCCAGAGAGACAATGAAGAGAATACTAATCCAATGGGCCCATTTATCATTAGACTGGGTTCCGAGGCCTGTGTAGGGTATACTGTCATTTCTTTCCCTCTCCATCCATCAGAACTGACTGTCCAACCCAGTGTAGGATGATGAGAGGCTGAAGCCAAAGCTGGAATCATATATTCATAGGTCTTCCACAGGATTTAATAACTGGCTACAACCTGTGCCCCTTCAGATACACCGAAACACACACAGCAATGGACTTTGGGATTTGGGAGCATTAAAAATATGTGGCTCACAGAACTCCCCATAGCCCACAAGATAAACTCCAACACTCTTAGCCTGGCCTTCAAGGCCCTCCACAATGTGACTTCAAACTCCTCTAACCATATTTGCATCAATCTCTCACCTCATGCCATTGTCTCAGGGTCTCTGTCTCTTCCCAATAAAGAAATGTCCCTTCAGGGGCAAGTGGCCCAAATCTTTCTTCAATCTCACTGTTGTCTTTCACAATACATCCGGTTTATTTGGGCTTCCTCCTTCTTCATGTGCCCTCTTCCCTATTCTCCAAATCTTTTCTATTCTTTGAAGTCCACTTCTGTGACACCTCTTCCAGGAATCTGTATCTGATGCCTATATTCAGAAGGGTTCTCATTCTCGTGTTCTCTTTCTCTCTTTCCTCATTCCGCAAAGCCTTGTGTGCATGTGTCTGTCTCTCTCTTTTAGTCCCTATCACTCAATGCCCTGTACTAGCTATAGCATCATACAAGCACTATGGCCTGTGGGTAAAATGTTGTATGTGCAATTAAATTAAAATCCTGTCCCTAATACTAGTTGTATGACCTTCTTCCTCTATAAAATGGAGATCATTTCCAGAATACTTACCTCCCAAGATTGTTATGAGGTTCAAAGAAGATAATGTATGTAAAATAATTTGCAAACATTTAAGCTCTATATAAATGTCAGCTATTATCATTAGTTATGTCTGTACCTACTCACTAGATTGGGAACTCAACGGGTACAGAGACTGGGTCTTCTCAGAGCTGTAACTAGGAATTTTTGTGCCCGGAATAAGTGGCACAAAACATGCCCTCAGCTGACTGAAGGGAAATGGGTAGAAGATATCTCTCTGTTAGGAAGAGACAGGGCAGCTAGGTGGTGCAGTAGATAAAGCTCTGGCCTTGGAGTCAGGAGGACCTGAGTTCAAATCTGGTCTCAGATATACGACACTAGCTGTGTGACCCTGGGCAAATCACTTAACTCCAATTACCAGAAAGAGGATTTTGAGATTTCAGATGTTGGTAATGGAGAAGTTCTGAGCAGAGTTCCAAGGTGAATAAAATATTATTTAATTTGAAAAATAAAACAAAGAGGTGATTTAGTCCATATGCCTCTTTTTATAGAAGAGAATGAAACCCAGAGAGGTAGAGTTACTACTAGGTCACACAGACAACAAGTGGAGAGTTGTGATTCCAACCCAGGATTCTTACTCCAAATTCAATGCTCTTTTTCACTATTTCACGGAGGAAACTGATGCCCAGAGAAGGGAGGGGACTTGCTCAAGGTCACACAGCTCCTGAACAGATCAACAAATCAACTAAAGGCAAGTAGGTGGCGCCATAGTGCACAGAGCACTGGACCTGGAGTCAGGAAGACCTGAGATCAAATTTGGCTTTAGACATTTAATAGATGTGTCAATCCAAGTAAATCACTTAACCTCTCTCTGCCTCAGTCTCCCCCATCTGTAAAATGGGACTCATAATAGCACTGACCTCCCAGGGTTGTTGTGAGGATCTAATGAGACAATACTTATATAAAATGCTTTGCAAACCTTAACGTGCTCTATAAATGCCAGTTATTATTGTTACTAAGGAAAATTCTGGCTAGACATGTTTTGAATTTTGCATATTTTCTTTAAATCATGTATCGCAACAAAGAATCACAAAACGACAAACCTTAAGATTTTTAGTGTGTTAAAAATTTCATTAGAACACACACAAATCTTTTTTTTGCTTGCTATTATGGATAATAATTGCATAATAATGATTGCATAATAACAGGGTTATTGTGAGGATAAAATAAGGTAAGTGTAAGGTGCTTTGTAAATCTTGAAGTGCTATGTAAATGCTACCTATTATTATTATTATTATTAAATATTTCCAACAGGAAATTTATTAAATATGGACTATGTGCCAGGCCCTCGTACTAGAAATAAAGACAAAAAAAGGGGAGGGGGAGGGTAGTCTCTGCCCTTATGAAGTGTACGTTTTACTGGAGGGACGGCAATGATATATGGTATGTATATGGTAAATAAATACAAGACTATTTAAGGAGGGAGAGCTTTCCACCACATAGAACACTGGGGGGGAGAACATGCCTCTAAGCAGAAACAAGCAGGCAGGCTTTTGATGGGAGAGAGGGTGGAGATGAGGAGGTGGAGGACGCACCAACAAGCCCGAAGGTGTGAGGTAACCACTGGTGCCGTGCTGCGCATGCCCGGCTTTGGATGCCTTCTCGCTCTCCTTGCCTTCTTACCCTCAGAGTTGGGGACCCCGCCCTAAGCATGGGCTGGCTCGCCTGGAGCCAATCAGAAGGGGACATGCAAATGAGATGACTGAGAAGCCTGTTCCTCAGGGGACTACCCTACTAGCCCTTTTCCCATGCCCACCCATCTCCAGATGCCCCTGGGGGATTTATGCAAGACCAAGTCTCAGACAAAAAAGGGTTAATTTATGGAAGGAAATCTGCTCTGTGAGAGCATTGGGCACACAGGTGGCCCTCCCCAACACAGACACACTGGGAACAGGCTGACTCACCTTTCTCCACCTCTGCCCTGACTGCTCACCCCCATGGGCACCAGATACATAGGGATATAGAGTTAAGGATATCTAAGGGGAATTCTCCACCTTTTTCTAGTGATACTTGAGTCTTTTCCACCAGCAAGGATTTCAGTCAATTCTTACTTTTCTTTTTGCATCCAAAGAGCTTAGAACAGTGCTTTGCCCATCATGGGGGTTTAATAAATGCCTCATTCATTCATTCATTCACTCATTCACTCGTTTGTCAGGGGTAGGGAGGAAGCCCCTGTCCTCCAACCAGCCCCGCCACAGGAGGAGTCACGGGTCTCATCCATCTCACCCCATGGCACTGCTGCCCAGTCATCCACTCCTCAAGCCTCTCTTCCCTCCTTTTCTATCCTCACTCTGCCCAAGTCTTCACACAAACACTCTCTGAGCCTTGAGCCAGGACAATCCAGGAGCTGATCTGCCCCAGGACAGGCCATAAGTGACTCTTTCCTGCTTTTGCAGTCAAGTCCCTGGGCTTCCTGCCAGGCCCTTGTACCCACACCCAACAGCCTCTCTAGACTCCTCCTGATGTCCAACACCTCCACATATGCTATGCATGGATCAAATGAAGGAACTAGGAATGTTTCGCCTCTAGAAAAGACTTAATGGGGAGCCATTGTCAGGTATTTGAAGGGTTGTTGCCTGGAAGGGTGAGGCTTGTTCTGCTTGGCTCCAGACAGCAGAACTAGGAATGAGGTAGGGCTGGGGGTGTGTGGAGGAAGAAGGGGCAGAGAGAAAGATTTTGGCTCAATATAAAGAAAGACCTAAGCACGGAACAGTGAAAAGTGTCGTGTCCAACCCTTTGTGACCCCATTTGGTGATTTCTTGGCAAAGATATTGGAGTGGTTCATCATTTCCTTCTTCAGCTCATTTTACAGATGAGGAAACTGAGGCAAACAGGGTTAAGTGACTTGCCCAGGGTCACATAGCTAGTAAGTGTGTGAGGCCACATTTGAATTCGGGTCTTCCTGACTCCAGGCCCAGCTCTCTACCCACTGTGCCACCTACCTGCTCCAGAAAGTAAGAGACTGAGGTTCAAATTCCAGCTTAGATCTTTACTGGCTGTGTAACCATAGGCAAGTCACAACTTTTCTGGGCCTCAGTTTCCTTACCTGTAAAAATAGGGATAACAACCCTTGTCCCATCTACTTCACCGAGTTGTGAGTCTCAAATGAGAAAATGGATGAAAAGAGCCTTGAGTGCCATCTCTACGTGCCCGGTATTATGATTCATTAGCACTATCAAAAATAGAATGGAGGGTCTCAACAACTACACATTGGCAGGACTTTGGGCATGTTGTAGCAGGGATTTGGGTTCAGGTATTATAATAAAAATGATGATGATAATGATAATAAAAGTTAGTATTTATATAGTGCTTTAAGCTTTGCAAATCACTTTACTACATGTTAACTCATGTGATCCTTACAACAACTCTGGGACTATTATTATCCCCATTTTACAGATGAGCCAACTGAGACAGAGAGATTTAGTGACTTGCCCAGGATCAGGTCCCTTCCAATGCTGAAATTATGGTGTTGCCTGTGAAGATTCTTCCCTCCTCCCCCTTCCTCCCTCTCTCCCTCTCTCTATGGTCCTGATCTCAGCGCACATCCCTTCCCACCCAGAGGCCCCCAGTGTCTCCCCTTCTATCCCTCCCACAGGGCTGCCTCTGACCAGGTCTTCTCCCTGCTCAGCCACTTCCCACAGTTCCCCTCAGACCATAGGTGAAAAGTCAGACTCCTTAGCCTGGTGTTTGAAAGCTCCCATGATATGATTCCACGGAGATCAGCCTCAGCTCCCAATATTCCCTCTTTACCTTGTCCTCCAGCAACACTAGAAGGATTCCCCACTACCAACTTCCCATGCCCACATCCATCAGGTTCTGACCTGTCTCTGACTTTGCTCAGGCTGCCCTCCCTGCCCCCTTCCCCCACCTCCTCCTCTCCCCTCCTCCTTCCCTACCTCTTCTCTACCTCAGCAGATCCTCTCCAAGGCCTAGCTTCAGCCTCCATTCTCTTGGAAGCCCTCCTTGATGATTCTAGTCTACAAGGATCTGAGCTTCTTTACCCTCCTCTGTTCCCACAAAGTGGCCCCAAGCACCCAGGGCCTCTTGCTGGCAGAGTCAAGCCTGTCTCCAAAGCCAGAATTCTCTCTGTAGGTGCTGACTCCCCTGCTCCTTAGAAGGATCAAAGCCCCTTCTTATGCATTTTCTCTTCTATGTCCACTGCGTCTAGTGATCAAGCCAGGTCTTTCTGAGCTCTGAAGGCCATAGGCTGGACAGTGTGCCAGCTCTCCAAAGCTGTCTCACTGAGCTGCAGCTTGCTCATATATGCACATGCATGTGCCTGCATGTACCTGTTTCAATATACATATGCATGTACAAGCACAAGAGGGCATGAACTTCACGGATATGTGCCTCTGCTGGCATATATGTCTGCATTACTATCTCTGGGCTCATGCCACTAGCGCTATCAACTTGGAAATCAAAACCTATGGCCAGAAAGGATCAGTGACCACTTTGGAAGACAGAGAGCAGAGGTATCAGGCCCCCGGAGCATGTCATGGCTAGAAGGGCCTTGGGAGACTGTTTGACCCAGTCTCATCATCATGCAGATGAAGAAATTGAGGACCTGAGACAGCACACAATATGTCACAGGCGAGGACAGTAAGACCCCTTCTCACTTGGGATGCTAAGATTTGTAAATTTATGCAGGCAAAAGTCACATTTATTCTTTGGTATGTTAATTTTTTTTTTTGGGCTAGGCAATGGGGTTAAGTGACTTGCCCAGGGTCACACAGCTAGCAAGTGTTATGTGTCTGAGGCTGGATTTGAACTCAGGTCCTTCTGAATTCAGGGCCGGTGCTCTATCCACTGCGCCACCTAGCTGCCCCGGCACGTTAATTTCTATAAAATTCCAGAGTTGGAAAGGACCTCAAGGACCTAGTCAATCAATCAATAGACATTTATTTGGCACTTATCATATACCGGGCACTATGTTAAGATAGTCAGTCTGACCCATATAGAAACCATCTTTGTAACACCCTCTGCCCCAACTTGGAGACCTTCTGTGACAGAAGACTCACTACCCTGCATCTGAGGCAATTTGGGATAATTCTAATTTGGGGGAGATTTTCTCTGAGGTTGAGCCAAAATTGTTCCTTCTCTCTACTGAAGACTAAACTAGAGGATAGGGGCGTGTGTTCACACATCGGCAGGTGCAGCTAGGACAGTGATTACTAAAAGCCAGTTAGGGTTCAGGAAAAACTATTTGTACTAAACTAATCTCATTTCCTTTTTTGATTTACCAACACCTAGATTGGTAGATCAAAGGAATGAATGGCTCAGATCCAACAGATACCTGTATTTCAGCAAGACACGGATGAAGTCTTTCATGGTCTCCTTATGACAAAGATGGAGGGACATGGGCTCGGGGGATTAAAGTTACATGGATTCAGAACTGATTGAATAACCAGCTCCTTCTCTGAAGAGGGATGGACACTAGGGTTGTTTGGAATACGGTTAAGAGACAAAGGGATTATCTGGATGATTCTGAGGGTCACATGAGTAGGCAATATGTTTGGGGCAGGTGCTGGGGATGGGCATTTGGCAAACAAAGAATTTCCCCAAACCTAGATATCCCTCTCCCACCACTGTCCCCACACAGGTCACTTACCCAGCGTCGCCTTGCCCAAGAGAAGGGCCACCCTACATTGGCGTGCCACTCGCGGACCACGCACCTGCCCCGAGGCCGAGCCCGCCAGCTCCACAGGGGGACAGTACCTATTGCCCCCAGGGCCTCCTTCCACCAGAGGAAACAGGAGAAGGGAGGCTGGGGTGGGAGGTTAGAGGGGCATCTGAAGTTTTCCCCTTCCCCCCAGCCTCCTAGTATATCTCACAAACTGGAATCCTCCTGTCCCCTCCTCAAACCATGTGGCTGAGGCTCAGAGAGGGATAGTAAGTGAGCTAAAGTCCAGATCCAAAGAGCCCAGGGCCCAGTTTAGGGGCCTCTCCCTGAGCGCCTGTTTTAGGGGAAAGGAGGCAGACAGCAGTTCTGTTCTGAACTGTGATCTAATCTCATTCTTCTGCCCCAGCCCTGGCTAGTGTGAATCCCTTTCCATGCCCACATTTAACGCCTCCTAAGGGTCTGCTTTCCTCACTTCCAGGATCAGAAAGGCCCCAGGTAAAGCCAGGGTTGCCTTCCTTGGTCCCACCAGTCCCCACCCCAGAGCCCCAAGGCAGGAACCCCTTAATGAGGATGGCTGTTTCAGGCCATGACGATCTCTCTAAACGTGATTAACACGGTCTCACAGTAATTCAGAGAAAGTCAGAACTGGAAAGGCTCTTGCCCATCATTCAGTTCACCCCCACTCCCCATTTAACATAGGAAGAAACTGAGGCCCAAAAAAGGAAAGGAATTTGCCCAAGGCCACACAGCCCATGAATAGTAGTCGGGACTCAGAGGAGGGGTCACTGTGCTAGAATTCTCTCGCCCTCTCTATGGTCAACTCTTAAGTGTCCCTCTGTTTCCTGTTCGAGGTTTGAGCCTCAGTTTCCTCTCAATCTCCAAAAGGCTATCCTTGGGCAGAGGAATTAGACTTGCTCTGCCTGGCCCTGAAAGGCAGAACCAATGAATAGGCAGATGTCATGGGGATGCAGATTTTGGCTCAGTATAAAGAACCTGTCAAACAAGAAGGATAAGTTCTACGGGAAGAGGGAGAAGGGAAGAAAAGAAAGACAAGAGAGAAGAAGGAGAAAGAGGGAGGAGGAAAAAGGACAGAGGAGGACCAGAGCGTTGCTCATAGGCCTGACCCCTAAGGAGTAGATGAGGAGAAGAAGGGGAGCTCACCGGGGTGGAGTTTGCTTCTAGGAGGGCGGCCTTCCATGCTCTGAAAAGAAAAGAGGGGTCAGTATAAGGGCCTGGGGCTTCCCAGGACTGACACAAAAAAAGATAAAGCTCTCTTGGCTTTAGGCCTTCCCTCAGACCCTGCCTTCAGGGTGGGAGAAGGGGAATAAAGGAAAGGAATAAGCATTTATTAAATGCCTACTATGTGTCACACACTGTGCTAAATGGTATCTATGTATCTATATCTATATAAAATCCCATTTGATCCTGACAACAACCTTGTGAGGCGAGTGATGTTATTATCCCCATTTTAGAGTTGAGGAAACTGAGGCAGAGGTTAAGTACTTACCGAGAGTCACACAGCTAGTAACTGTCTGAGGACAACTTTGATTTTGGGCCTTGCTGACACCAGGCCCGGTGCTCTATGCTCTGTACCACCCAGCTGCCTACTCCTCCCTTCCACCACCCCTCTCTGAACGAGTCATGGCCCCTCTCCTCGAGGAGTCCCAGTCTGAGAACTCTTGTCCTTGAGAACCCCTGTTCTCCTGAAGGTTCCATGGAAACCACGGGCCAGGAGTTCTTGGCTTTTTTGGTCCTGGTCCCCTTTGGCAGTCAGTCAGGTGTAGCCAACCATGTTAAAATATAGTTATTGAAATAATTTCATTCATTCATTCATTCATTCATTCATTCATTCATTCATTCATTCATTCATTCATTCATTCATTTATTTATTTATTTATTATTTATTTATTTATTTATAGGCAATTCGGGTTAAGTGACTTGCCCAGGGTCACGTAGCTAGTAAGTGTCAAGTGTCTGGTCTGAAGCTGGATTTGAATTCAGGTCCTCCTGACTTCAGGGCCAGTGCTCTGTCCACTGCACCACCTAGCTGCCCCAGAATAATTTTTTTAAAGTTCTCAGACTACAGGTTAAGAGCCCCTGCTCTAGGCCCAAGATGTTCTCTCAGGTCCTATTGACCAATCTCCTTCTCTCCTCATTCAAAGGTCTTCTCTAGGGACCCATTTCTGACCCTTGGTCCCCCTCAGAACTGGTGAGCCTGAGGGACAGTGATGCATGTTTCTCTGTGGACTAGGGATAGAGACCAGACCTGGGATCCCATTAATCAGGAACTGCCTATAAGGAAATCCCTTCCACCAATGCAGACTGGAACCTCCTCTGCATCTTTTACTCTTGGAGAGGTTAAGTCACTTGTCCGAGGTCACTTAATCGGTATATGTCAGATGAGAACCCTGAATCCAGGTCTTCCTGGTTCCGAGGCCTGCTCTCTATTTCACCATACCATACTGCCACCCGTGTTTTTAGTTTTTCAAGTTTTCTGAAGGCGTCTCTTTCCCCTTTCAGTCCAGGGGTTCTTGCCCTTCACCCCCACTGTAACAACAGCCTAGAGCATTGGAGAAGGACACAGGGTGCTTCCAGGCCTCAGCTCTCCTGGAAACTTCCAGAGGAAACTTCAGAAGGGCAGCTCTAGAAGGTGCCCCATGGAATGGGGGGGCAGGGCTGGGCCCAAAACAGATGAGTCTTTGTCTATTGCTAGGACTTGGGGCCCAGCTACTGGCAGGGGTAGAAGCTGGAACAAGGCAGCTCTGTTTTCCAGCCCCTACGCCTGTCACCCAAGTAGTTCAGCCTCTGGGCCTCAGCTCTCCCCACAAAGATGGAGAAACTAAGAGTGCATTCTTGGCCTGTATCTGAATCCTCAGGATGCTGCCTGGATGCCACAGTCTCATGGACAGACACACAGAGAGCTGGGGGGCTGAGGGTGCTGGGTGAGTAGGGACAGGTCTAAGGTGTCATCTCAAGTAGGGGTTGTACTTATGTGCATGGTGAACTCATATCTGATATGGGCTTGGCATGTATTCTGAGTGTGAGAGCACAAACATAGCTTAGACACATTTACATATGTGGCTGAGGTGCGTTTAAAGTCATATCAGAAATTTAAAGATGGACAGAACCTTAGATCTAGAGGAGATCCCTCGATTTACAGATGTGGAAACTGAAGCCCAGATTGGTGAAGGGACTTGCCCAAGGTCACAGAGTAAGGAAATGGCAGGTCCAGAATTCCAAGCCACCTCCTTCCTCAGAGTCCAAACCCAACACTCGATTCACAGTACCCAACCATGTCCTGCGAATGCCCACTGTCCACAGGCACCACATTCAGGGGCTGAGGCATGTATTTGCACGAAACATTCCCAGTGTGGGAGGAAGTATGGAGCGATGAAAGCATTTTGGACTTGGAGTTCAAGAAAGCCGGGCTTCAGCCCCAGCTCAGTTATTTACCAGATTTGTGACCTTTGTCTAGTCACAAAGTCACAAGTGCCCCTCTCTGAACCTCAGCTTCCTCTTCTGTGAAATGAAGGTGTTGGATTAGATGATCTTTAAATCCCTTCTAGCTAGTGCAGTGAATAGTGCACTGGGCTTGGAAGAGTCATCTTTGTGACTTCAAATCCAGCCTCAGACACTGGCTGTGTGACCCTGGGCAAGTCACTTAACCCTGTTTGCCTCAGTTTCCTCATCTGTTCAATGAGCTCTAGTAACTTTGCCAAGAATACCCCAAATGGGGTCATGGAAAGTAGGACACAACTGAAATGATGCAACAAAATCCCTTCTAACTCTGACCCGACAATCAAATAATTACAGTACGATGTGATCCATTCACTAGACTTTTCATACTATATTCCAGATCAATGTGCATCTTCCTCGTTCCCTCATCTCTCTCTTCTCCCGTCCACCTCTGTGCTCGCCCATAGTCCTGGAATATTCTACTTCGTCATATCCTATCCCTCCATTGGACTGTAAACTCTGGGAGGGTAAGGCTTACACGAGGCAGGTAGGTGGCACAGACATTTACTAGCTATGTGACCCTGAGCAAGTCGCTTAACTCTGCCTCAGTTTTCTCATCTGTAAAATGACCTGGAGAAGGAAACGGCAAACCACTCCAGTGTCCTTGCCAAGAAAACTCCAAATGGGGTCACAAAGAGCCAGATACAACTGAAAAAAAAAAAAGACTGAACAACAAAAGGCTTACATTGTGTTTCACTTGTGTATAGCCAGTGCTAGGAACAGGGCTTCCACACAAGAAGCATTTAATGAATAGCTGTCAAATTGCACAAATGTATGTTGTTAAATCTTATGGAAGGGAGATTATATATTTCTACCAGTCTGCCCCTCCCAAGCCCAAGGCTTCTGTCACACTGACCCCCCAGGGCCTGGCCTCTGTATGGTGGCTGACTCAGCCTCTCCAGAGAGTCGCTGGGGGAACAAACAGGCCTCCTCTTCCAGGCCATCCTCTGGGAACCCCCCGCCCCTCAGAAGAGCTGCATCAACACAGCCTGGAACAATCTTCAGGGACCGCTTACAGCTCCCCTCCATCCCCAAAGCAGGCTCTGCAACCAAAACAACCTACTGCCTCAAAGTTAAGCCTCTCCCCCAGAGAGCCTCCACCTGCATCCTTCCACCACCTCCAGTTCGTGCCTCCTCTGGGAAGCCTTCCTTGATTAATCCTCTCAAATTTAAAAGTCAGAGGCAATGTGCCAGATCTCATTCATTTCCCCAACGAGGGTTCTCTAAGGGCAAAAACTGTGTCATGCCTTTCAAACCTCCCAGAGGCCAGGGGCCATCCCTTCCCCTGTAGGCTGGGAAATCCTGTTTTCAGAACTACCTGAACAAACATGTCTTCTTGCATTCACAAGCATTTGATCCAGGTAAGGAAGGATGTGAGAATGTGGGGAAGGAAACGATGGTTCCGTTTATAAACTGTTACAATAGAAGTGAAACACTAAAACCAGCTTGACTGAACCCACCAATCAGAAGCTTAAGGAGGGTAATGTCCTGTTCCCCAAGCTGAGGTAGACCATAGATCACAGAACTTGGGGCTGGGAGGGGCCCTAGAGACCAGCTAGTGCAACCTCTTCATTTTTCCAAATAGTATCTTCTACATTGTTACATCTTCTACATTGTTCAGTGTGTCCCTTCCCCCTTTCAGAGAGCCATCCCAAATAACAAAATAATTTTTAAAAAATTAGAGAAAAAGCGGGGCAGCTGGTGGTGCAGTGGATAGAGCTCCAGCCTTGGAGTCTGGAGGACATGAATTCAAATCCAGCATCAGACACTTGACACTCACTAGCTGTGTGACCCTGGGAAAGTCACTTAAATCTGACTGCCTCACCAAAAAGAAAAAAAAAAAAGCCCGACATCCTATTCAGGACTCCACACTTCCAGGCCCTGATCTCAGCAAGGAATGGGCTTTCTCCTATGTCTTCTTTAGGGTCAAGCTCCAATCTCTTCATTTTACAGATGAAGAAACTAAGCCCTCAAGAGGGGAGGCCACACTGGGAGTGTAAGAGGTAGGATTTGAACCTAGGTCTTCTGAACCCCGAGCCGGTTCTTCTTCCATTGAATTGTCCTTGTCTCACCTGTGCAAACTGAGCACCAGGGTTTCCCCTTTGCCCCTTTAAAGAAACATCCGCCCTGAGGTCCTGCTTTCAGGATGATGATGATGATGATGATAAGTTAGCATTTATAAAGCACCTACTATGTGCCAGGAACTGTGCTCAGTGCCTTACAAATATGATCTCAATTGATCTTCACAGCAATCCTGAGAGGTATAGATCATTATTCTCCCCATTTTATTGTTAAGGAAAGTGAGGCAAATAGAAGTTAAGTGATTTGCCCAGGGTCACACAGCTAGTAAGTACTTGAGGCTGGATGTGAACTTGGGTCTTCCTAGCTCTAGGCCCAGCTCTCTATCCAGTTAACCACCTAACCGTATCATTTTAAGGAAGGACTCTGTGTTCTACCTCACTCCAACCTGAAGTCACTCTCCTAACTCCTTCTCCTAACATGCTACTTTCCCTTCCTAATATTAACCTTTTCTCCCTACCTTTCTAGCTCTCTTATACTTACTGTCTTTCCTCATTAGAATATAAGCTCCCTGAGGGTAAAGGCTCTCTTGTTTATTTGTACTTGTATCTTGGTGCACAGTAAGCATTTAATAAATGCCCAATGTTTGACTCTAAGTTGGGTGATCTTTGTACTGCCCAATGCCCACCCTCCAGGAAGGAACAGATCCAATAAAGACCAGAGGCCTTCTTCCCAGAGTCCACCCCTGCCCATGCCCAGGAGCCACTCACAAAGCCTCATCCTTAGTCTCAGCACATAGTGTCAGGCGGGGGCCATCCCTCAGGTACACCATCAGGAGAGAGTCCCGGTTCCGACCCTCAGGCAGCTGTACCTCTGAATACCAGAGAACACAAGGAGAAAGTCAGAGAGGCTCCAAGCCCTGCCCAGTGTGGTCAGTCCCAAAGGCCACTTGTACTCTCATCCAGGACCCCTGCCCACTCTGACCCAAGTCAAAAACAAGGAACCAGGTTTTGACAGATTTAGTTATTGGGCCCTGCTTATACTTCTGTGTCAGCTGAAATCATTTGTTTGAAGTTCTCCTGAGTTTAAACACAAAGGTCACTACATAATTCACACGTTGAAGAAGGGCGAGCTCTAGACTTGGAACTGATAGACATAAGACATAGTCCTGGCTCTGCCAATAACTTCCTGCCTGAAAGGGAAGTCCTTTCCCCTCTCTGGGCCTGTTTCCTACTCTATACAATGAGGGGGGTTGGATTAGATGGTCTTTCACATCCTTACTACCTCTGTAATTCTGGGATTCTATCTTTCACATACATTTATTCTTCATGATAGCCTCTGTAAAGAAAGTTGAGGAGGTATTATTATCTTCATTGGGCAACTGGAGAAACTGAGACCCAAAGAGGGGGAGGCTGGATGGCTTAATTAAGGTCACACACAGAGTTAGAACTCCAGTGTCTTTCCCTGCCCTTCCCATTCTAATAATAGGCAAAGTGATGGGATTTCAAAATATAATAATAATAATTATCATTATTATTATTAGTTTATTTACATAACACTTTAAGGTTTGCAAAGTGCTTCACAAATATTATTTCATTGTATCCTTGCAACAACCCTGGGAGGTAATTGCTATTAGTATTTCAATTTTACAGAAACTGTGCAAATTGAGGCAGATGTAGGTTAAGTGACTTGCCCAGAGCCACACAGCTAGTGAGTGTCTGAGGCAGCATTTGAACTCAGGCCTTCTGTTCTCCAGGTGTACTACCTAGTTGCATAGGTGAACTGTATTCCTATATCATGTGACAGGGTTCATCAAGATTGGGGCTCCAGCAAATTATCTTTTCTATCCGAGTCTCCAGCAGAATCCTGATTCTGAACTTTGCCAGGTACTGTTCCCCTTTTCTTGACATTAGCCAAAGTCCTGACTTTATCCATAACAAGCTAAAGGTAGGTCATTTTCCCAGAATGGTTACAAGTACTTGGGATTACCTTGAGGTCACAGTCTAAGGACAGGACTCCATCTGGGGCCACTGGGCTCCACACCACCCTCCATCCCAGGTCTGAGGCCACACACCCGCCTACCCACAAAGGGCCTCTTGCCGGCTGAGATGAGGGGGAGAAGTTGCCCTGAGCTGTGAGGGCCGTACACTGGACAGCTCAGGTGACAGCCTCCTGCACGCTGGGTTGTAAGCGTCCATCCCAATGACCCTCCTGTGCCCATTGGGTTGTGAGTATCCATCCCAATGACTCTCTGATGCACACTGGGTTGTGAGCATCTGTCCCAATGCCCCTCCTGGGGAGGGTGGGTGGCCCCATCAGGGGCAGGGGAAGAAGGAAGGGCGGTGAGATAAAAAGCCTGGTCCCTCTCACCTGGGCACTCCTGCCCAGTCTTCACCTCTCGGCAATTGAACCGGATCAGCACTCGGTCCTCCTCCTCCTCCAGGCTGTCATCCTTGTAGTAGCCCAGGGTGCCATCTAGCCACAGAACGAACCAGTTCCGCTTCCAACGTCGAAGGATGGAGCCTGAAGAGAAAGGTCCACCCACCTACTAGCCACTCCCTTAACCCATCCCTCATTAGGGGGATGCCCCTCTCTGACCACCACCCTGCCTCTTCCCCATGCCCCTCTGGGCTTCTCCCCCACTTTCCGCATTAACAACAATAATAATAGCTCACATATATCACATGTATATAGCACTTGAAGGTTTGCAAAGCAATTGACATTAATTATCTCATTCAATCCCCATAACAACCCTGGGAAATAGGTGCTGTTATTATCCTCGTTTTACAGATGAGAAAACTGAGGCTCAGTAAAATGACTTGCAGCTCCTAAGTGTCAGAAGCAGGATTTGCTTTTGGTCTCCCTTTGCTAAGTTGAACATTTTTTCCAGACTATCATGGCGCCTCTCAAGGTATCCTGAGGTCTGCAGATGGTGCGAGGATCCCATCTGTTACTTCGTTAGATTCTCATAACAGAGGCTGGTTAGGGATTCTAATTATCCCTCATATACAGGGGAAAATCCAAGGCCTGTCAGAGCAGGGGAAAAAGCATTCCCATTTTATAGAAGGGGAAACCAAAGCCCAGAAGGGGGAAGGGACATGCCCAGCACTGTACAATGAGCCATTGACACAGCTGGGACTTGGCCAAGGTCTCCAGACTCCCAGTGGGCCCAGGGATTCTTTGTACTTTAGAATCTTTGCCCAAAGGTACATTGTGAGAGGGATTACCTTCAAAGTCGCTCTGTAGACCTTTAAGCACATGTGAGTGTCAGCCCCTACTGCCATCATTAGTGAAGTGCTCTGACAAGTGACTGGTAGCATCCTAGACCACTAGAGTCAGACAGGCCTTAAAGATCCTCTAATCTAACACCACCTCATTTTACATTTGGCAAAACTGAGGCAGGGAAGGGCCTGGCCCTCAAACCCAAGTCCTTCTACTTCACAAAGGGCTGCATACATGTACAAGAGGCAGTGGAAAGAAAGTTGGCATGTGATTCGGAAGCGCTGGGTTCAGCTCCGAGGCTTACTGACTGTGTGATGCAGCCTCTTTGAACATCAATATTCTCAGCTATAAAACATGAGGGCTGCATGAGATGAGCTCAAAGATCTCTACCGACTCTGACCTTTTTTTAGTTCTTCTAAAGTTTCTTCGTTGCTGTCCCCTTCTCAAGCTCCAGAGACCCAAATGTCCCTAGTGCCCACCCAGCCTGCCCACGGTGGGGAGCCGGGAGCTCCATCACTCACTCTGCCTCCAGAGCCAGCCGGCTTTCACCAGGGCCATGTCTTCAAAGGGACCTTCCAGATTTGGGCCAGGACCTGACAGACAATGGGGAACAAAGTACCTCTAGTCCAGGAGTTCTTATTTCTTTCTGTATCAGGAACCTCTTCAGCAGCCTGGTGTCAGGAACTCCTACAGACCCCTTATGAGATGAATGCTTTTAAATACATAGAAAATCCATAGGATTACAAAGGAAGCCAATCATGTTTAAATACACTTATTAAAATAATTTAAAAAACAAACAAGTTCCCAGGTGCCAGGTTAAGACCCCCTGTCCTAGATCTCATCCCTGGGCAGATCTCTGGATACATCCCCTTTTCATAAGATTCATTCTCCTTGCAATACTCAGACCCCAAATTTTGGCCCTAGTTTAGGGTGGGGGTGTCAGTTATTCTCCCTGATGCTGAGATGGCACAAAAGGTCATTTAAAAGTAAAACACGGGCAGCTAGGTGGTGCAGTGGATAGAGTACCGGCCCTGAAGTCAGGAAGACCTGAATTCAACTCCAGCCTCAGACCAAACACTTGACACTTACTAGCCTTGTGACCCTGGGCAAGTCACTTAACCCCAATTGCCTAATTAAAAACAAAACAAAACAAAACACCACTACAGCCCTCCCAAGCCTCTCCTATAGTCATTTGGGAAGAGGTAGGAGAAGGAAAGGAGACCATGGAAAGCCTGAGGATAACTGAAGCCTATAGATAATTCAAACACTGAATATTAGCCCCAAAGCTTCAATCTTAATTGAATTCAGCTCCACAAACATCAACTAAATGCTAAATTTGTAAAGGACCCTGGGTTCAACTCTGAGAATACAATATGAAAAATAAGTCTCTACCCTCAAGGAACTTACAGTCACATATATTAAAAATATAATATAATCAATCGATCAATGCACATTATTAAGCATCTAGGCACTATGCTAAGCACTGGGGATACAGAAAAAGGTAAAAGGCAATTCTTGCCCTCAAGGAGCTTACAATCTAACAAAGAAGACAACATGCCAACAAATAATATACAAATCAAGCTATATACAGGGTAAACAGGAAATAATTAACAGAGGGAAGGCACTGGAATTAAGAAGAATTAGAGAAAAAAGTCATTGAGGCCAGGGACTGCTGTTTTTCACTTTGTCTTTGTGTCCCCAACACCTAGGACAGGGCCTCGTACATTGTACATACCTACAAAGTTGAACAAAGGTCAAGGAGCTTACAATCTAACAAGAGGAATACAACATGTCCACAGATGAATCTAATACAAGGTAGAGTATGGTGGGACAATGGCTGAGTCATAAGGATTTGTTTGTAGAAATGGAGCAGCTTACGATGGAAATTCAAGATCAAGTCATTGCTTCTAGAAATTGCAGAAGGGCTTAAAGAGCTTGGAATTAGTGATCAATGTAGATTATACAATGAAACAGTAGAAACTGGAGAGGATATTAGGTTCCAATAATTTAGCACCTACCAAATATTGAGCAGGTCAGGACCTCTCGATTAGAATTATACATCAGCAGCTTAGCTATCTTTCATGGAATGGCAGATGACAAATCACCACAAACATCCTATTGAACTCAACCAATAAACTGTACTATATATATACTGGCCCTTTTAGGACAATTAGCACAGACTGAACTGTCACCCATAATTGCCTGGACATGATAATGATCCATGATATTTCTAATAGAGGTCACCAAACCAAACACTCATGATCTCCAAGATCCGTGGAATGAAAGACTCTCAAAATAGGGACACCTAGCAAAGGAAATCAAAATCTTATGGGAGCAGGAGGAGAGCTAAGTTATCCTTGCTGTCCTATAGGCTACTAGAATTACAGTGAGGAGGCAGGTGGGTAATCCTGTTGATTAGAGCCCCTGGCCTGCAGTCAGGAAGACCTGAGTTCAGACAGGGTCTCAAACACTAGCTGTGTGACACTGGGCAAGTTGTTTAACTTCTGCTGCCTCAGTTTCTTCATCTGTGAAATAGAGATAACAACAGCACCCACCTCACAGGATTGTTGTGAAGGTCATAATATTTGTAAAGGGCTTATCCCAGTGCCTGCCACACAGTAGGTGCATAATAAATACTTATTTCCTTCCCCTACTGGAGTTATAATGAGGATGCTTTCAGCGAGCCTACAAAGGAGGAGTTCACTTAATAATACTTTTATTCAATTACCAAAAGTAGTTGATAGACTCATAGATCTAGAGTTAGAAGAGACCATAGAGCCCATCAGATCTAACTTCCTCATTGTACAGTTGTGGAAACTGTAGGTTTCCAGGGAGGTTGTGACCTTGCCTAAAGTCACACAGGCAGTGTCACAAGCAGGTCCTCTGATTCCAGGACAGTTCTCCTTCTACTCAATCACATTTGCTCCACCTATGCAACAGTCCACAGAACACTACATATAAAAGAATATGATAGTAACTTGTCCGAGAACACTTTCTATACAAATCCCATGGAAAAAGAGAACAAGATAATAATAATAGCTAGTGTTTATATAGCACTTTAAGGTTTGCAAAGCATTTTACAAATATTAACTCATTTGATCCTCAACAATCCTTTAAGGTAGGTGCTATTAATATACCGCCTTTACATTCAATGAAATTTAATCTCAATACTATATAAACCATTTGGAAAACCAAATTCCTTTTGTGATACAAATATGGTGTTGATACCTAAACAAGGAAGGGCAAAAAACAGAAAAAGAAAACTATAGACCAATTTCTCTAATAAATATTGATGCAAAAATCCTAAATAAAATACTGGCAAGGAGACTACAGCAACATATCACAAGGATCATATGCTATGACCAGGTGGGATTTATACCAGGAATGCACGGCTGGTTCGATATTAGGAAAACAAACAGCATAATTGGTCATATCAATAAAAAACCCAACAGAAATCATATGATTATATCAACAATGCAGAAAAAGCCTTTGACAAAATACAGCACCCATTCCTATTAAAAAACGCTAGAGAGCACAGGAATAAATAGAGCTTTCCTTAAAATAACTAATATTTATCTAAAACCATCTGCAAGCATTACCTGTAATGAAGATAAACTAGAAGACTTTCCAAAAAGCTCAAGGGTAAAGAAATGATGCCCATTGTCACCACTATTATTCAACATTGTACTAGAAATCCTAGCTATAATAATAAGAAGAGAAAAAGAAATCAAAGGAATTAGAATAGGCAATGAGGAATCAAAACCATCATTCTTTGCAGATGATATAATGGTACACTAAGAGAATCCTAGCGAATCAACTAACTAGTTGGAATAACTAACAACTTTAGCAAAGTTGCAAGATATAAAATAAACCCACATCAATCATCAGCATTTCTATACATTACCAACAAAGTCCAGCATCAAGAGGTAGAAAAAGCAATTCCATTTAAAATAACTGAAGACAACATAAAATACTTGGTAGTCTACCTGCCAAGACAAACCTAACACAATTACACACTTTTCACACAGATAAAGTCAGATCTGAACAACTGTAAAAATATTCATTGTTGATGGGCAGGTCAAGTCCATCTAATAAAAATAACAATTCTACCTAAATTAATTATTTATTCAGTGCCATAACAATTATACTTCCAAAAATTATTTTATAGAGCTAGAAAAAAGTAATAACAACATTCATCTGAAAGAACAAAAGGTAAAGGATATCAAGGGAATCAATGAAAAAAATGTACCAGGTTTCAAACTGTTATAAAACAGTAAACATAAAACAATCTGGTACCAGCTGAAAAATAGAGTGGCAAATGAGCCTATTAGATCAGATACACATTGTAGTAAATGACCACGGTAATTTAGTGTTTTATAAATCCAAAGATACAGGCTTTTGAGACAAAAATTATTTGACAAAAAATGCTAGGAAAACTGGAAAACAGTATGGAAGACACTAGATACAGACCAACATATCACATTGTATATCAAGATAAAGTCAAAATGGGTACATGATTAGACATAAAGAGTGGTACCATAAGCAAATTAGGGGAGCATGAAATAGATTATCTGCCAGATCTATAGATAAGGAAAGAATTTAGAACCAAAAAAATATATAGAGAGCATTACAAAACATAAAATGGCTAATTTTAATTGTATTAAATTAAAAAGGTTTTGCACAAGCAGAACCAATGCAACCAAAATTAGAAGGAAAGCAAAAAACTGGGGAAAAATTTTTCACAGCAAGTATCTCTGATAAAGGCCTTATTTCTCAAATATACAAGGAAACGAGTCAAATTTATAAGACTATAAGTCATTCCCCAATTGATAAATGGTCAAAGGATATGAACAGGCAATTTTCAAAGAAATCAAAAGTATTTATATAGTCACATAAAAATGCTCATATAAATATAAATGTTCACATATAATCATATAAAATTGATTAGAGAAATGCAAATTAAAACAACTCTGAGGAACCACCTCATACCTACCAGATAGGCTAATGTGACAGAAAAGGAAAATATAAATGTTGGAAGGGATGTGGGAAAACTGGGACACCAATGCACAATTGATGGAGTTGTGAACTGATCCAACCATTCTGGAAAGCAATTTAGAATGATGCCCAAAGGGCTATAAAACTGTGCATATAGCCTTTGACACAGAAATATCACTACTAGGTCTGTATCCCAAAGAGATTTTTTTTAAAATGGAAAATGACCTATTTGTACAAAACAGCAGCTCTTTTAGTGGTGGCTAAGAATTGGAAATTGAGGAGATGCCCATCAATTGAGGAATGGCTGAACGAGTTGTGGTATATGATTGTAATGGAATATTATTGTGCTACAAGAAATAACAAGCAGGATGATTTCAGAAAAACCTAGAAAGACTTATATGAACTGATACAGAGTAAAATGAACAGAACCAGAAGAACATTATACACAGCAACAGCAATACTGTATGATGAACAACTGTGAATGACTTAGTTATTCTCAGCAATACAATGATCCAAGACAATCCAAAGGACTCATGATGAAAAATGCTATCCACCTCTGGAGAAAGAACTGACGGCATTTGAGTATAGACCAAAGCAC